GCCGGCCTGGCTGCAGCAGGAGGAAGGGGTTTTTCTGCCACAGTCTCACTTCTGTTTTTTCTCTCCTAGTGCAATAAAGTGGAACTTCACTAAGGTAGGACACAGCTGCCTTCTCCCAGGCTTGCCTGAGTCACGCCCTCGCTCTTTTGGGGGGCGGTGGGGAGGAAGGAGGGATCCTCACGCACAGGCTCCGCTCTGTGCGGTTACCCTGGATGTCGGGATAGGAGCAGCCCGAGGGGTTCCTGCACTGTCCTGGTCCCTGTGCCTGGAGTCCCCCAGGAGCCCCTGGCCTGGTTATCTCCAGCCCTGTCCCAGAGAGGCAGTAACCAGCTGAGGGGGGAGCAGGCCTGCCAGGGGCTACAGCTCTGCAGGCAGGACCCCCACCAGAAGCTGGGGTTGCCCCCGGGCTGCTCTGCTGCTCTCGCAGGGCTGCAGAGCCCGGGTTACAGCTGGACTCGCTCACCTGGGTGCTGCTTCGCTTCCACAGTTCCTCATTAACCGGGAGGGCCAAGTGGTGAAGAGGTACAGTCCGATGGAGGACCCCTACGTAAGTCTGCTGCCGGCATGGTTGCTGTTAAAGCTCTGCCTGACCCACGGGAGAAGGGGACGTGCAGCAGTGCCGACTCCGGAGCAGGCTCCGCTGCTGTCTCTCGGCTCTCTTCCTCCTTTGGCTGGGAGGAGAAGAGGCACCCCTGTGCTCTGGGGGGTTTGGCTGTGGCACCAGGGAGAGCGGGTGCCCAGCACTGACCAGTGGGTCGGTGGTTCCAAGCAGTCCCTCTGGGGTGGGGGGCTTCAGGCATGTTTTTGGGGCAATGATGTTCTCGTAGCACAGTGCTCTCTTCCGTCTCACAGGTGATCGAGAAGGACCTGCCTGCCTACCTGTAGACCTGCTCATCTCACCTTCGCACTGTCCGTTTGACCCAGCACCGGCCCTCCTGCTGCCTGGGGAGTCTCATCCAGCCCCAATGACGGTCTGTCTTCAAGCCAGCTTGCTGGTGAGGCAGACCTGAAGATCTGGCGTGCACCTGCTGGAAGAAGGCTTCACCGGGCCGGCGGCCGCTGCTGGGCAGCCCTTTTCTATGGGCATAAAACAGGATCTGGTGTCCCCTTGAAATAAAAGTACTAGAAATGAGCCGGTTGTGTCTGGGTGCGTGGCAGTGAGTGCTGGATGGGGCTGGATCTGCTGCACTGCTCCCGGGGAGAACCCAGAGCTTTGCAGGGGAGCCAAGACCTCACACAACTCCTGAGCCCAGCAGGGATAATCCTCGTTAGTGCTGAGCAGGGAATTGCACGCTAATCCTGGGTCAGCCGGCGCTCCCGAGGGGCTCATGCAGGGGGAA